GAGTCAGGTGCAGCCAGGCAAACCTGACAGGCTTAGGTTGATTGGTGACTCTAAATTGTCCATAGGAGTGACTGTGTATGTGGTTGTTCGTCTGCATGTTGGCCCTGCGATGGACCGGCGACCTGTCCAGGGTGTACCCCGCCTTATGCCCAATGCCGGCTGGGATTGGCTCCAGCTCCCCTGCGACCTCGTTTGGGACTAAGTAGTATAGAAAATGAGATGAGATGAGTTTGCTGTCCAGCATACACACTCCACATACAACTCATCTCACTGTGTGTTTGGTTCATCAGTGTCACATTGCATCCTGCTCAGGGTCAGGCACTTTGTCTTTTTTTCCAAGGTTAACATTAACATAAGTTTTCCTTGCTTTCTTATCATGACAATTTTTCTTCTTGTTTGATCCCGAATTCAGGAAAAAATTGTCTAGAAATTGGGGCTGTCATATCAGATTTTCACTAAACAATTATCGTAGCCAAAAACATTCACAATAATGAGATTATCATGATATTGACAGAAAATGTGAAAAAAATGCTATCAATCAAAATCATCTTTAATTTTATTGTGTATACTGTTGCAAAATGAATTACACTCAAAATTTGAGTGTAGGGAGATGGAGAGTCTGTAACCACAACTGTAAAAAAAAAATCATAGAAAGTTACTGGCTCTTGATTATTTACATTATTGTATGTGTATTATTAACAAAATATCAATATTTATATATATCATGGTTATCGTCAATACATCGTGACACCCCTACTATTGATATAATCGGCCTAATGTACACTAGAGACAACTGTCTGCTAGTAGTAAAAATGTAAAGAAAAAACCATTATTCCTCCAAGTAGATGAAGATTCTACATCTGTTCAGGTCAGTGCATCATGTGATCCCCAAAAAGCCTTTTATTTTTTCACCTTCAGCCAAAAGTAGCTTCAAAAAGGTGTTTTTACTATATTTTGCTCATCATGCTAATGAATGTTCTTAACAGGTACACTATCGATGACAGGAACCTTGGTCGCCTACTGAGTCGAATCACCACCACCTACAACACAGAGCTCCAGCTATGGAAGGTTAGCATTAGCCTTTGTGCACCTAATTTTCCTTTGTACAGTACTACTGCTTGCCTCAGTTTTTGAAGTTCTGCCAGAAGTTGTTTTATGGAGAAAAATATTGAATTGATGCATGTGGACACGAATCATTGGAATCCACTCTGACAACAGCAGCTGTTCAATCACTTGTATCAATCACATTAGATTAGATTCAACTTTATCATCATTACCCATGTACAAGTAGGCTAGTGGTTAAGCCACAGTGCTCTCGCCACTGCGGCACGGGTTTGAATCAGGGTTGCATCAAGAAGGGCATCTGGCGTAAAACACGTGCCAAATGTCAACATGCAAGTCGTCAGTGTGACGATTCGCTGTGGCGACCCCTAAATGGGAAAAGCCGAAAGTGGCTTTCATCCATGTACAAGTACAAGGCAATGAAATACAGTTTAGCATCTAACCAGAAGTGCAATTTCTACAGTCTGTACAGTCAGAACTAATTTACAGATGGATATGTACAATTGATATTTACAGTAAGATATGTAGGGTGATGTACAACAGAATGACTACCACCCTGTAGCACTCAAAACCATTGTCATGAAATGCTTCGAGCGCCTGTTCCTGGTATGCCTGATGACCTGTCTTCCACCCACACTGGACCCCCACTAATTTTCCTAGCGCAGGAAAAGCCTGTCTCAGCTTCTGTCTGAATTCCTCAAAACATTCTTCCTTTTTCAACTTTCACCACTTGGTCTTCTTTTTTTTGTTCCTCCCTCTTCTGGAAATAGGTGTTAACTACAGCCATTTCCATCCTCTTAGCAAAGCCCACCACCATCTGTCCTTCTAGGTTCCTTTCCTTAACACCAAACCTGCCCATCACCTCCTCATCACCTTTGTTCCCCTCACCAACATGCCTATTGAAGTCTGTCCCAATCACCACTCTCTCCCCTCTAGGAATACTCTTCATCACCTCATCTAACTCACTCCAGAATCTCTCCTTCTCTTCTAACTCACACCCTACTGTAATGTTTGTATGAGTCTAAGTGGACGCACACAGTGCGTGATGGCGTAACTGTCAGTTTACGACAGACACAAAAAAAGGGTTGCGACAGACATTAAGGAAGTTGCAGGTTCATAGTGGTGCATTAAACCTGTTGTAATGTGACGGAGTTACAGTACAAGCAATAAAAGAAGATAACGTTTGACACGACATCAAAGTCTGTTTGTTGACACGCAGACAGACATCACACCCTACTTGTGGAGCATAACCACTGACTACATTTAACATTAACCCTTCAATTTCCATTTTCAGACTGATCACCCTGTCTGACACTCTTTTCACCTCTAAAACATTCCTCACCAGCTCCTCCTTCAGGATCACTCCTACCCCATTTCTCTTCCTGTCCACACCATAATAAATCAGTTTGTATCCCCCTCCAATGCTACGCGCTTTGCTACTCTTCCACCTGGTCTCCTGCACACACAGTATATCTACCTTCCTTCTCTCCATCATGTCTACCAGCTCTCTACCTTTCCCTGTCATTGTGCCAACGTTGAGTCCCTATTTTCAGACCTATACTCCTCCCTTTCCTCTTCTTTATCTATCTACAAATCCTTCTATCTCCTCTCCTTCTTCGACCGACAGTAGTCCAATTTCTGCCAGCACCCTGTAGGTCAACAGCACTGGTGGCAGTCGTTGTTAACC